TTTGGGATTGGGTGAGGGCCTGTGCTCACATCCTTGAATATTTAAGTTGCTTTTCCTCTGTTGAGCAACATTGGTGTGGTAAATGAATATGTACACTGCTTCCATTTGGGTGGTGATTGAGAAAATCATCCTCTCCACTAACTACAGCATTCTGTAAGACATGTGATGACTAAAGAGTTGCCACCTTTCCTGGTTTTCAAGAATTATGTGCAACTAGAGAATCAATAAATCCAGAACGTAGAGAGTATATGGAAGCAGTGGGGAAACTTTCCAGCTGAGAGAAAATTTTCTGGGTATTTTTGTTGTGGTTGTTCACAGTATTTATTTTACATTCCACGATGTAGACCAGTCTTTACTAGATGCTACAAAATAAATGGACTCCAATGCCTTCAGAGAGAGTCTTTAGACTATTTCCACAATCATTGGAAAGTGCAAAGAACAAAAGACCTCTCTTCTATGAAGGATGTTCCTATCTTCCTTTTTACTTTCTCTAGGTGATGGCCCAGAGCACTCATGATCCAATAGAACTTTTAGTGATGATGGCAGTGTTTTATATTTTTGCTGTCCAGTATGGTAGTCATTAGCTATGTGTGCCCACTGACCACTTGCAGTGTGGCTGGTACAACTGAGGAACAAAAGAATTTTATTTAATTCTAACTAGTTTAATTTTTTTTAATGTTTATTCATTTTTGAGACATAGAGAGCCTGAGTGTGCACACAAGTGGGGGAAGGGCAAAGAGAGGGAGACACAGAATCTGAAGTGGGCTCCAGGCTCTGAGCTGTCAGCACAGAGCCTGATGTGGGGCTTGAACCCACCAACTGTGAGTTCGTGACCTGAGCTGAAGTCAAATGCTTAACCGACTGAGTCACCTAAGCACCCCTAATGCTAACCAGTTTAAATGTAAACCCGTGTTTGTGGCTAGTGGGTACCATATGAACTGAGCAGCTACAGCTTAGTTGGTGATATTCATACGAAGAATAACAACTAATTATTGAGCATCATATTATATACCAAACATTATGTTAAGCATACTACGTGCACTTATTTAATCCTAATCACAACCCTATGAGGTAGTTAGTAATATTCTACCCCTTTAGTAGAAGAGAAGTCAATGCACAGAGGATAAGCAATGCACTCACCCACCTTTTTTTTTTTTTTTTTTTTTTTTTTTGCACCTGGTCGGGCAGAAAAGCATCACTGAAAATTTAAAAATGGTCATCTCTTTGGTAACTTCTGGGCTAATTAAATTCAGAGGTGACCTACTGAGTAGCTTGGAAAGATTGCAGAAAGATGTATCAACTCCTTGTGCCTACAAAAGTCCATGACCTGTGGCCCTCTGCAGGAACTAGAAACACTGACCCAGCTTCTCATCTGATGTTGTCATGGAGATTCAGCCTTAAACAAAAAGATGGCGCTGTTTTTGGGCTCCAGGAATAGAGCTCAGCAATTAGCTTCATCTTTATTTAGTTTGTAACACCAGCCTGGAAGACTCTCTCTAGAGGAGACCTGGAAATAGCTTCTCACAGTGCTAACAGACAGCTAGAGATGATTTCCTGGGAACATCGTGGATGCTATGTGTGGGATAAACCTGAATATTTTTTTTAATCAGTCATTTTAATATCTTGGAAAACACTCAGCTCTCTAAATGATCACCATCACATCAACACCATATTGCATGTGTTGATTATCAGGCAGGGTTTAAAGAAAAAAAAAGTTCCCAAACCTGGATGTGCATCAGAACCTTGGGGAAGCTTGCGACATTTTGATGAGCACCAGGTTAGGAAACAAAAGATATAAATTAGACTGAAGTATAAACTTTAAGGCATTTCAAAAAGATTTCTTCTTCACAGATTTTCTGCCATAAATAGAATTTTAAAATTGCTCCTTGGTATTTCCTTAAATACCTGAGTACTAACAGTAATATGTTAATGTAACATTGCCACAGTGGTGACCGTGTTGAATGTATTTATGCCTAAGTTCAGGAAATATATGCTGTGTTATGAAACTGAATGGAAGCAAAGTGTGTTTATGTGTGGTTTCTCAGGTATCTAGTTACTTCAGTAAACTTTTGGCTTTAAGACACCATTGCTTCAGAAATGATCAATACTGAACAGGTGAAAGACAAGACAGGAGATGTATTGATACTCAATCTGAAAATCCTGCAAGTTTTTCCAGACAAAAATCAGATACAGATGGATTACTTGCACTCTCAAACTTTATTACATGTGGTACAGAAATAGAATGGGTACAAGAGATCACATGGAAAAGGATCAGATTCGAATCTCCAAATTCTTTCCTAGAGGAAACACAAATAGAAAAATTCAGTTAATGTTAAGTGACCTAATATCAACAATGATAGTTAACATTTGAATAACTACTGTGCCAAACTCAGTTCTAAGTGCTTTACTTTTATGTTGTCTTCACAACTACCCTATGAGGTTATGTTTTACAGATGAGGAAACTGAGGCACAGAGAGATGATCTTTTCTAAAGGGTCAGCACTTTACCCACTTGGCATAAATGAGGCAGGGTATCACATGCTGACCCTCTATTTCACTTCCTTTTACTTTATAGGGGAGTTAGGTAGGAGCCCCCAGTGATGCTACAGTACCTGCCTCTTTACCCAGGATGCAATGAGAACCCACTACCCAGGGAGGGAATGTATTTGAAAGGGTCACATCACAGTAGATCATAGTAGGGATCTCTTTCTCAATTTGATGGTATTGATGTCTTTCCTAAATAAAGCCCCTAGAAAAGGTTCTAATGGGCTAAGGTCTGAAGACTTCCTTAGTGTAATTTCTCATGGTTTTGGAATATTGAGAGGACATTGACGGTATGTGAGGTGGACCACCTAGGGACTAAGCTTGTCCTGGAAACTGGAGAAGGTCTCTTCATTACATTCATTGGTGGGCTGGGTAGCAAAGCTTCCTCAGGACACTTAGAAGGATGTGAAATGATACTTGCCTTGGACCACCGCCTGACTGTATGCCTGTGCACATCGCCAGGTGTGCTTGCACTTTTCACCTGAATAGAAACAACAGCTGAAGTCTCAGTCTGGACTCAGGCAAACCACGGCAAATTTAAATGCAAAGGAAATTTGCAAACATGACCAAAATGAGGAATAGAGGAATTAAGTTCCTAGAACAAAAATCTAGAATTTCTCATGCAAATCCAGGGAGGCCAGCTTAATCAAATTTTCAGCTAACACAGATGATAATGACTCTGGTGCCCAGTATCTTTATGGGGCTTCACTCCTGCAAGAGCAGAGAGAAAACAGGTGATGAAGCCATGGTGGCAATTACCTTTCCACATTTTTGGGCTAGGGACATGACATTTTTAAAAAAATGTTAGCAAATCCTTTTCTGAGCTTAATTTTATTAGCTTTGGTTCTCACGAGGAGGGAGAGTCTGCTTACAGCCATCAATATATGATGACTTGGGACTGTAACTCTGAACAGGCTGCACTCAGCCCAGGATGACTGGGAGGTCTTGAGTTTGTTATTCAATGGATTTCACTGAATTCTCAAGAGTTAAACATTTTCAAGTCTAGAAGACCCATGTTCTTAGAGCAACAGCTACAGTCTTTAATTTTTCAGACCAACAAAAGAATTCGAGAATACGTGGAAAGAACACCGAATAGTCTCATCATTTGCAATAACATCCAGGAAGAAAAAACAAAAGAGGGCACATCTCATTTCAAAATGACCCTTAACTCAGATTACGATTTCTGTCTTGAAGCCCTGGAGGGCCTCTAGAATCAAACGATGAGAGCCATAAATGTTGATAAGATAGATTATGCAGACTGAAACTCATTGTGTCCCAGTGCATTTAATTTCAGAAAAGTTGATTAAACAGGACTGTGGCCAGAAGCCCATGTTGAGACATCCACTGTGCCATTGGGAAGTTGTGTGTGTCACTAGGAAGTTGCCTCACTGCTCTGAGCCTCAGTTTCCTCATATGTTAAGTGGGGACGGTAAGTCCTCTCTCAATGGATGGTTGTAAGTCTGTAGCAAAAGGTATAATATGGTCCAACTATTATCATCATCCTAATTGATATTATTATTATTATTAAATTGCTATAAAGTGTTATGTGAGGCCCTTTGAAGACTGAGATAAATGAGCCTAACTCTTCAAGGAAATTCTATATTTGATATAAGCTTGATAAATACCAAACTTCAAAGTACCAACAAAGATCTCTGAGGGGTTTTGTTAATTGATTTTGTTGTAGTACCCTAGCCTTGAAAGGAAACAAAATGTGTTTTCACAAGCAAAGATTAAGGGACTCTGTTCCACTCAGTCATTATTCTGTCACTCAAGACATACCCCAGAATGATTATTTGTACTTAAAATGCTCTTCAGCTTGCCAGCCAGTGTGGAGTTACCTGTCGAAGTTAATCATATGGAGTGGTTCATGTATCAGGCAGTATGAGCCTATCTGTCCCACAGCAGCCTCGCTGAGTGACTGATAAAATTCTGTGTCAATTTCACCAAGCCGAAAGACTATTACTGACCCATCAAAAGACCAAAGTGACCCATCTCGAAAATAGAGCCTGTTGTACCTAGAGAAAAGGTTGCCCGACTTCATTGGCAATCTAGATGTCATTCTTTCCAACTTTGATGGTTTACGGTAATCAAAAAATGTAACCACATAAAAAAAAGGAGAAAGCAAAGCCAATTAAAATAGAAAGATGATTAGGGACTAACAGTCCTACCTCATATATGCACATCCTTTATAAAGGAAGGCTTTTATTTACACGATTCCATTCAAGCTTCATGGTATTCCCCTGGAGAAGAGCATGCTCCCATCTTACACCAGAGGAAACCGAAGATCACATAGGATATGACTTATCCAAGATCACAGAGGTTCGTGAGGTGATAAAGCTTATGCTACCTCAAATAGGAGAGCCACCATTAGGGGCTTAGCCCAGTTTTCCTTTTTCTTGGCCAGAGAAAAGAAACAGCACACACAAGGTCATAACCAATACTTGGACCAACACTTACGTGAAGTGGGATTGCTGATTCTTGTCATGTTCTTCTAAGTGTTTGGGTCACTTCAGCAAGAACAGGCTTTGGACACATTTGCTCAGTCCTCTTAGTGCAAGCTGGGGTCCTCAGAGGTTACTCTGAAAGAAGGCAGCAATATAAAGGGAATTCAAAACTAATCTTACACTTGAAAAGAAAAAAATAATGAGAATATTCATGTGGATTGTAAAGAGAAATAATGATTACCTTTGATTCCTAGAGAAAGTTAATTTAAAATGCATCCAAGTTCCATTGTACAGCCAAAAAAAAAAAAAAATCTGCGAAGCTGAGACATGTCTTTAGAAGGCAGAAATAAGAGTCACCGTCACTTGAGTCCTGAGAGGATGCTCATTCCAGTAATTGGGAAGAAGAAAGATTGTACAGATTAACTGACTTTGGTTTAGGATACACTGTTTTCTTTTTAAATGCAAATGATACTTGAGGCCTAAAAGACAAAATCTGTCCTAAATGCCAGTCTCTAAACATTTTTAAAAAAATTTAAAAGCACTTAATAATCAGAAAACAATGAAATTGATAATATTTTTGTTTTTACCAAATTAGAAGTGCTAACTACTTAAGCAAGTGCATAGGATCCATTTCCAGTGGTAAATTTGAAGTTCATGGGCCCTTTGAAACACAAATAGGGTATCAGTAGTCCATAAAAGGAAAGAAGTGGGCATAAAACTTTGTTGGTTTTATACACAGGGTTAGCTCGTCAAAAGACATCTTAGTTAATTACACAAATGCAGATATAGCATTGATTGTCAGTTTTAAGAGTTTTATGTAATAACTACGGCATAGTTTTGAAACCTGTGACAGGGTAAAAAAAAAATGCCTTTCAAGGCAGTTTATAACTTTTAGAGGTTTTATCTGGAAGAATACAGTTCTACTTGCTGAGTCTGTCGATGTGGAATTTTGTTATTATGTGTACATAATGTGTTCTAGGTAAGTTTAGGAGCCTTTAGTATGTGAGGTATTATACTCCAGTCAATCCATGCACATTTTCTGAGAACCTAGTATTTGCCAGGCCCTTTGCTACAGGCACAAAGATACAGGTGACTCAGTCCCTCTACATACCAGCTGCTTTCCTGCATGTCATTCCCTGCAACTGTCTGCCTCAAAACATAATATTCCAGCCTCACAGAACTGCCTTCTAGTCTCACCATATACCATATTCTTTTGTACGCTGGGTTCTTTGTGCATATTTGTTTTCTGCCTTTTGTGACTTTTCTTTATGGTTGCCTGGAGTCCTTCATCATTTGAGACCAGCTCAAACAAAACCTGGGTGATGCTCTCCACCTATAGCTTGCTAGCACTTGGCATAGACCTCTTCTAAGAGGCATTGCCAATCTGAATGATCATTTCTTACCTTCGAGTCTTCCATCAGATCTGGGCTCCCTGAGGGTATCGTCCGCTTCTGTCCCCAATACCTAGTCTGTCCAGGGCTGGCCCAGAGGAGTGGTGCTTGACAAACATTTCTTTGATGGACCCAACTTAAAAATGCCCTTAGCGTTCACAAATCCTGGCCAGATGATGTGCTGCCATGATTAAATGTAAAACTTGACACAATTGTCATGGCTTTGGGGCATGATGTAAAAGTGTTTTATGCTAAGGGTACATATTCTAGCCATGTGAATTTTCATCCTATTCTTTAAGTTGACCTGAAGATGTAGAACTGAGGTGGCAAATGCTAATTGCTTTTTAAGGATGCTGAGATGTCAGACCCCAAGGAGAGAAATAATGGTATTTCACAGAACTCTTAGGTAGAAAGAAATAGGCCAACAAGATTTATAGCTGCATTTATTTCTAAGGTGATTCTATGTCAAAGGTCGGGTAACGTACATTCTGTGCTATCCTATACTTACAGAGTGTTTTCAAAATGGATTTTAAATTGACAGTGTCTCGAGTTAGTGCAGAGATATCACACTGAAGGTGAAAGAGGGGCGGGGGGCGGGGAGCTTAACATGATACAAAAACTTGGTCACACAGTTCCAAAAAGCTTTAAGATGTAAGATAACCCCATTATAGTAATTATAAGAGACGAGATTATTGATTTTTTTCACAATACCAGTTAATAAATTAGTGAAATGTCAATAATATTAGAACCAGCGCACTTGCTAGGAGGAACATACGTTGTAAAAACAAGACTCAGGGCTATTACTTGCAAGGCTGAATTAAGTTCAAGTTTTAAAATCAGAACACCATCCAGTGGTGTGAAAATTTACTTCCTAACAAAACAACCTGTTTCCTGACCTGGTGATGATGCCAGACTGATTGTGTTTCTATTGCTTAATTGCGTTTTAAAATAAATGTCATTAGATTGATAACCCTCTGCAGGGTTTTAAAATCCACAAACATTCAGACAAGAGATGCCAGGAGGACTGATTCAGTCGATGTCTGGCCTGTGGTGTTTGTCAGAGACAGGATGTCGAGTGTGTTTTCAAGCCAGATTAGGTTCTGTTCTGTCTGAATTTGGACCTGCTTCCTTCAACCCCCTACAAGTAGGTTCCTGCTTGGAGAGTCTGCCTTTGCTAGAGTGTGGGGGCTGAAACAAGTCTTACTAGCCCAGTAGTACATATTGTTTACTCTTGAATCTACAAAATTTCCTTTACTGTTTTGTCTTCTTAAAAACAATGCAGATATGGATTTGAACACACAACTTTATGTGCCTTTCTCCACTTTTCTGCTGAGATTTCCTGTCTTACTGTATCCTGAAAAGGCAAATCCCTTCCCTTTTCAAGTAAATGTAACTTAGACCAAATTCCAAATTATTTAAAATTTTTATTATTTATTTTGAGAGAGAGAAAGAAAGAGAGCGCATGTGCAAGCAGGGGAGGGACAGACAGAAGGACAGAAAGAATCCCAAGCAGGTTCTGTGCTATCAGTGCACAGCCCCATACAGGGCTTGAACTCAGGAACCAAGAGATCATGACCTGAGCGGAGATCAAAAGTCTGACGCCTGACCGACTATGCCACCAAGGCGCCCCCAACTTCCCAATTATTTTTTTTTAAGTAGCAGTATGAGATCATTATCATTAGTGTGTAAAGACACCTTTACATTGGCAGAAAAGGAGAGCACCCAATCACAATCTTTGAAACAAGAAAATCCTAGTCAAAACTTTATTCTGAAACAGCACATCCTAAAAGTATTTTTTAACTGAAGAACATTTTCATCTTGTATCCTTTAACCCAAAAGGCATCAACTCTGAATGGAGCTAAAGAGAATTTTTAATGGATTGAGATTAATTCTATCATTTTCACCCAGGGAAAATTCCTTCTCTTTTATTCTCAGGGAGTCTCATGTAAATGGAGTGTTCAAGTGACGAGTTGCAGTGTTTTGACAAGCCCTTGGTGTACAAAAACTTGAAATCTCACTGGAATTCCACTATATATTCACTGGGAGGAAAGAATGCCCTATTTAAAAACTAGGACAGATCATGTTGATATGGAAAAAGGAAATAAGTATGTGAACAATATATCCTAAATTAAAGACTGAGTTGCAGGCACCCATCTAAAATCAACAGGAAATGTAATTACTCTGAAAGTACTCTTGTCCTATCTTACGGTGGTGCTAAATGCCCCATTAAAAATAAATAAATATAAATAAATAAATAAATAAATACAAGACACACAGCAATGATCTGATAAAAGTTCTATGTTAGCAACATAGAAACAAGGAAGACTAGCCTCTATTAGGAAGCACAATTTCCCCCTCCCATGATAGGACCTCTCCACTCTCTCTTGGAATCTTTCTACAGATTGGTTTCTCTATTTTGTAGCACAATACCAGGTTTAAAAGCAAATCAAAAGGCAACCTTTCATTCACAGCCACCACATGATTTTAATAACTCTGCTCCATATTTTCCACTGTTTGTTTTTCCACAGTTGGGAATACTTTGACTCCATCTGGATAAGGATGCTTGTCAATACAAGGGTTGTTTTGCACTATATTAAACTATTGTGAAGGCTAAAGGGTGGAAGTGTGCTACTAATAATAAATAACAAAATAATAATAAACTCACAGCATATATGTTTTAGTGAGAGCCTCAAATAATAAACTTCAGTGATGAACCAATGATTACTTCTATGCCTGCTCATTCCTGTGTCTAGTTCACACATCACACCATTCACCATTTCTCTAAGCTATTAGTTTGAACACCTTTGGTATTTATTGATAATTCCTGGGTTTGACTAACATTAAGACTCATTTTACACTCTTGAGGTCTTTCCTTGAAGCTTTCCTTGCTCAGTATCACATGTTATGACTGCAGTTGGTTCCATGCTTCTCTAAGGCAGAACTATGAGCCACAGATCATCTTCAACACACTATCAAGCCCATCCGGCAATGTCTTTGTGTCACTTTGCCGTAAAGAAGGAACTGAGACTATTTTGGGTTTAAGATGGTAACGCCATTTGTTATTTTTTGAATGAATACATTTCTGGGAACGTATTTAATAAAAATAAACCAGAACAAAGGTTTTTGTTAGGCTTGTAAAACATTCCCCTTCCTTCCCTGTAAGTTGCCACATCAGCTTCTAAAACCAGAGCATGACAGCACACATTTAAAAATAATCTCTCACCATCAGTAGTTTTAAAGTAGACCATATAACAGAGTGACCAGCACCAATTCCACCACTGTTGGCTACTTGCTCAGCAAAGACAAATGTATACACATCCACACACATGTTCTCCAGAAAAGAAATCAAGTCTGTGACCTGTAGCAGCTGTCTGCACTATGCTGAGCAAACAGATTGTCTTTGAAAACACGTTTCATCATATAAATGATTTATAGGTAATCATGCAGTTTTCATGGAAACATTTCTTTTCTCAGTAGAGACAAGAACATACAAATAAATAAAAATTAGATTGTTTCTTACCTTTTAGAAAGCAGGCAAAAGCTATACTGTTGGTGGGATAGTGTACCAAGTAACAGACTTTTGTACACTCTTTCTTACTGGTGGTATACAGTCTACAGGAAAAGTAAATATATAGGTATGTATAAAATAATTGTGCAAACAATATTCCTTTTATTCTTTTTTTTTTTCCCATTTGGAGAAGAGGCTGCCATAGAGACCCTGGACATTATGCCCACTCTTTCAGTGGGTTCAAAAGATCTTGGTAGACCAGTTCACCACAATTCAGGTACCTCTGAACATGGGAGTGCCTCTTGATTTAAGGCAGTCAGGGTTTAGTTCCTCAAGCTGGAGCAGTTGGGGGAGCCAGCTCCCAGATAATTTATTTATGTGGTCAGAGTTTTCTTTCCATTGCCATCCTCCCTTTTTTTCTCTCATCCTAGTCCAGCTATAGTGACCAGCCTGCATGGTTAGTCCAGCAGGATGAAACAGCATAATGTTGAGAATGTTAGAGATCCAAACAAATGAAGAAGCAAAACAAAACAAAAACCATAACAAAATAGCACAGCACAGGAGCGTGTTCCAGAATTTTCTAGGCATCATTACTTATGTAGGGTTTGGTGCCCACATCCATTTTCCAACAGTTTGAGTTTTTTTTTTTTCTTAATCAAATGCCTCCTTATATTGACAACTCAACTATTTTATGTAATAATTCCCTTGGAGAACAACAGAAGTTTTCATGTATATGTTTTCCCTATAGTAGGTGCAAAAAAATGGTAGTAAAAAAACAGCATCAGAATATAAACTTATATTTAAAATATCTTATTTTAGCTTTTCTATTTTAGGCACAAATTATTATTCTAAAACATGCTTTATCATAGAACGTGCTCATTGGCCCAGTGTATGTCTAGCCTCTTTCTCAGAGTTAATCAGTCATACATTCTCATATCCAAGAAGGAGGTGTCCCAAGCTGTCCACCTGCCTGACATCTCTGGTTGCTACTGACCTTCCAGAGTCTAAACTATCTGCAACCAATCCATATACTTGAGGACTTTGTCTGCACTACCTGGGGGCATTGGCTTAGAAAATGGATGGCAGTTTAGGACAAAGATAGCTTAGGGCTGCTTATCATTTTGCCCTGTGATCCTTTACAAGGATAGCATCTGAAACAGAGGATAATTTGCAGAGCATCTTCTGGTTCTGACCAGTCCAGGTGAGGGAGGCAACAATTCTTATCCACCCATCCCTATAAAGCCATGCTGCCTCAGTTAATATTGTTCATCCAACTGGAAAAGGGTCCTGCTGGCCATCAATAAGCCATGTCCCAAGCACAATGAGGTCTTCTTGTTTATTTGGCATCTACACGTTTGCCATGAACATAAATCTGCCAAGTAGCAATAGAAACTATAAGGAAACATGCTGAATTCAGGCTGCAGATGCAAGAACCAGAGGTTAAGGTGCCCTTCTTCTTAGAAAGGAATGTGGAGAAGGCATCATGGTGGCCAGATCTAAAGCTATCTGAAGTAGGTCAGGTTCTTCTTATTGTCTAGCAACAGAAATCTTGTTTGTGTAAATAAAAATTCAACAAGTAGCTGAGCTACACCCCTATACACCCTACAATTTTTCAATCTGAATGCAGAAGCCCTTGCCCAGCTCTGAATATCTAATGTCAGTAGTGCACAGATAATGTTACAATTTTAAGATTTACTCTTTGTGTACACGCAAATTTTTCTTTTCAACAATGGAATTCTAATGGAAGAAGCAACCTTAGAGGAAAACTGAGCTTCTTGGGGAAAACCCAGGCAGTACTGGGGCAGTTGTAATTTCTGCCCATGGTAAGCCAACAAGCAAATTCATTTTTATATAGACATTAGTTGCAATGTGCAGTTGGATGAGGAGAAGCATGCATGCACCAGATGGCAAGCTGCAATGACGGAGCAGAGCTGTTCAAAATGAAAACACTCAAGACTGAAATACATTGAGACTAACTGTTTAGAGCAACAATGGATAAAGGGACATTTCTGCTTCATTATTTACTTTGCGGCTTATACTATAAACCCATCTTCCTCTCAGAGACCCTCCCTCAGAGAATAGTGGATAGGATGTCCCCTTTGGAAAGACATGGTCCTGTTTCAAGTATATGGTCTGTGCTTTTGTTTCTTTTTAACCCGACAGCTTAATTTCAGCATATAATTCCTTTGTCTCTGTTATTAATGCTTAGAAAATTGATACTATTTGAGCTATATTTGATATTAAATAGAATATAATATTCCTTTGCATGAGCATAGTCTTACTGTTTATTTTCATTAATTGAACTTTTCATTACTGCTCTTACCCTACATACATACATTTTTGCATTGGTCAGGACTGGCTTTCTGAATATAATTACTATCTATGATACCACTATTTCCAGATTAGTGTCTCCTTTTGGATCATTTAAAATAACTAATCAACTGCATTTTTATCTCATCTCAAATGTTTCATCCCTTGAAGTTGACTTTGTCCCAGGTCAACATCACTGCTAAAACTTTGGGAGGCATTTCCAGTATGTGTCCTAGATAAAATATTGCCTATTAAGACATAATAATTTCCAGAGATGAGCTTTCTGATATAGTAGCCACAACCACAGATGGCTATTTAAATTGAAATTACTTAAAATAGTGTATTTCCTTAGTTAAGTAACCGTATTTCAAGTGCTGGTTTGCCACATATGACTAGAACATTTCCATCACTGCAGCTGGGTCATCAAAAACCCCAATGTTTGGAGGTACATGAATCTCCTCCTATGGTTCAGCAAATATCTATTCAAATTACTTCTGTTATTTTAGGGAGTGTCTACACAAAACCAAAAGAACTAAAATGGTTTTTAAATTGTTTTGGACTGCTTGTAAGACAAGAACTCTATTTGATTTCATTTTCCCCTCTGGGCTCTTTACCTTTGCTCTGTGTAGACACCAAAAAATCATTGACAAAACCCAATAAAACTTTTTCATGGGAAGCCACCAAGTGAATTCCATACAGAATAGTTGTCAGGATTGGCATTAGATAATAAGTTATTTATATTTTTAAGTAAGTAAGATGAGGCCTCTACCTGGGCAGCCTTCTTTGAGCTCAAGTTACTCCTATCTTTGTAGATAACACAGCAAGTAATAATACATTTCACAGCACATTTAACTCAAGAGTCTGCCACAGACATCATTATATTCTTTATATGCAACTTGAATCACCAGTTGAGGAAACCAAAAGAGTAATTTCTGCTTTGGAATTATGACATGCCCCTTAGGTTCTAAGAAATAGAACAGCAAAGAGAAGCAGGCATGGATTTAAGACTCAGACCTGGGTTTCAGTCCAACCTCCACTGTTAACTATATATGTGACTTTGGTAATGGCACTGAATCTCACTAAGCCTAGGTTTCTTCAGTGAAAAGCAATTCTCATTCTACAGAGTTACTGTGAGGGGTAAGAGATCTTCCACACAAAGCATTTTGGATTAATACCTATTTCAAAGTGTAGCTATTGCGAGCATTATTAGTCGTATTAATATCGCTATTAGTGTTAGCTATTAGTGTTAGTGTTAGCATTTTACAACCATTATCCTATCCAAAACAGCTTCAACAAGGATAGAACCTAATCATTAAAAGTTAATAACAGTACAAATGTTGTTTGAAAGCTAATTATTTTTAAGTAGCGAAGTACTGAGTTGTCTAAATTCAAAACTTCTAACTTGCTCATTTTTTTCCAATACATATAGACTTTTGATCATATATTCCACTTACTGATTTTTGGACACATCTACTTAAATTGTGTGTGTTCAGATACACATGAAAAACTGTTAATGGAATGTCTCTAGGATAAGGGTTTTAAAAAATTCAAGGGGTCCTAGAATAAAACACTACAGAAGTATAAATGTGCAGGTATATTTATCAATACAGGTATGCATAAAAATAAATGCTTAAGCATATTTGTTCATGGAAATATTTCTTTTGGGGCATTAGTTCTGTCTACCTCCATACAGCCTTGAACTGTAACCATCACATCTACATTTACTTTTAGGCAGAACTTTCTGCCTTTTAAGGAATAAAAGGACAATAACAATTGATATATTATTTTTCAGATACCTAATATGTTATGGCACCCTTATTACATAAGTATTATTATCTTACATAAGTATTATTATCTCCATTCCAAACATGAAGATGCTGAGCTTTAAGAAAGCTCAGTGATTCTCAAAGCCACACAGCTGGGAAGTGGAGTGGATGGGATTTGAACCCAGGTCTGTCTCAACCCGAAGCCTCTTCCTATGTCACATGAATTACCACAGGATTCGCCATCCACTTCCCCTCCTTTCTATTGACCATTTGCTCTGAAGACACAAGAACAGAGTCTATACATTGATTTGGTTTCTCCTTGCTCATGCTGTGGTCCTTGTCTTTCCTCTTGCCTTGTCCCAGAATCCCTTCTATTAGAGGGTCAAAATAAAGCCCACGGTGTTGTTAACAAGCCTTTGGTACCTTGTCTATGTATTTTCAAAGAGTTTCACAGTATTCACTCAGCCAACTGCTTAGAAATGGAGATGAGCCAAGATCATGGATCTCTGAACAGGATTTGTCAAAAACAAACTCTGTTGCCTCCTGCTCTTTAAAGATCTGTCTCTTCTTTGCAGAGTACAAAGGATTACCTCAGAGTTCTTAGAATAGGGATTCCTTTCTGCTTGGCAAAGTTGATAACTGAAAAATGTCTTGAATGGTTTAACGGACAACCTGAATCCCCCTCTACTTTAAAAACAGGAAGTATGAAAATCTGCCACATTTTGTCTGGAACTGGTCAACTTGTTCCTAGAAAACAAATACTGGAAGTAGTATTTTTAATCTAAAATGCACTCTTACCACCATACTGTTAGTAAAATTAGCAAGTGGGTATTCTATGCATTTAACCTCTAGTTACACGGTCTTATTTTCTAAAAAAGTATGTCCATCTTTTTGTAGTCATTTGCAGGCTACCCAGGGGTTGCAGATATAAGCATATCAAATGTAACATTTCACCCTTTATCCCCGACCTAATGTTTTGTCTTAGATGTTTTCCCCATGTGGGGGTGTCATGAGCATGGTGGTAGATGGCCTATATAATTGGGTGTTTTCCTATTTCTAGAAAGCTTGCTTAGTAAAGAATCCTAATGCTCTCCACATTCACATTCCAGTGAAAGGAGTTTTGCTTTCTGAGTTATTAAATATTCCAGTTTCCTTCCCACTACTACAGTTTAATCAAGTGTTAAAATTTCCCTACTGGGAAGTTGTTTCTCTAATAGGGAGAGAGCAAGAAATGTGGGTCACAGCCCGACAGGTATGTTTACGTCACTTGAAGTGTTTGGTACCAAAGGATAAGAAGGAAGGGAAGGGGGAGATTTCACACTTCAAAAGCAGAGCCTCTAAAAGCTTTTTTTCTCATAGGGAGCAAAAATGACATGAGGCCAAGAATGAGGCAAACTCTTAAGAGCAAAAGTTCGCATTTATCCAGGAACCCACTCAGTTAAGACAAGGATGGACATAATATTTCTGCAAGGAGAGGCAGGCTGATACCACAGTTCCTAGAGCTTCCTAATGTAGTTGGGGAAGATGAAAGGAAAGGAAAGTTACTTACTGTTTGGGTCTACGTTTTCACAGAGTTCTGTTTTTGCCTCCCCGTTGGGTCTGTCACTGGGTTTGTGTGACAGCCGTGAAGACATGGTGGCTGCTGTGACTACCGCCTTGAAGCTTCGCTTCCGTTTCTGGACATTGAGTTCAGGGTGGAAAATGATGATGTACACTTTCGGCATGTATAGCATCCCCAACGCCACTGATGCACTTAGGTTCATGGAGATTGTAAGCGTGGTAGTTTGTATGTAGAGCTAGGAGACACAACACACAAGACACTATTACAAATAAAATGACTGCAAAGGAAGTCTGAATACTTAACACAATGTCAAGAATGACTCTGGCTAGGAGAGCAAGCATAGCAATCTCCAGGGCCTTCTCATAAAAAAAAAAAAAAAAAAAAAAAAGGAAGTCAGAATGACTCTGCACATTTATCAGAGAATTTGTGCATATATTTAACTGATGGAATGCCTTTGGGTGAATCCATGTGCATGCTTGTCCTGGAGAAGTCTCCAAAATAAAGTTCAGAGTAGATCTTTAGTCAGATTTGAAACACTTCCATCACAATGGCAGATGAATATGAAGATATGAAAATCATAGAAATTTGTGTAAGGTGGTTATTTTTTATCCCCTATATGTACACAAAAGGATTAACACTATATGATTTCTTGTTCCACAAAGACCCTGGGACCTTTGAAAGTCATGTTAGTTTATGTCCCTTTTTGCATTACTATTTTTTTGAACAGATCACCTTCACCATACCTACAAAGTAGTGAGTTAAGGTCCCCTGAAAAGCCCTTGTTGCTTACTTCTGACTTACAAATCACCAATGGCGAGGAAGTGAGATCTAGTGATGTTGGCTTGTCCAATTGTCCAATTGACAAATTGCTAATATAAGGCAAAACCATTCTGACACTGTATTATTTGTAGTTTGGGTGGTGTCTCCATAACTATCCTGTCTCCTTTCACTTCTTTGAAAAATAAGCAAACAACCATTCAGTTACTGCTCAGTGTGTTAAATCATTGCCTTGGTTATAAACTTGAAAAGGTGATGGTTGATGATGGGTGTGGGAAATTGTAATATCAGCAAGGCAGAAGCTCCTTGCCTTTGTCCAGTTATGTTTATGAAGTGCCCTCTTTAGTGATCCAGAACCGCACCTCTATATATTTACATATGTTTTCATTTTACATGACTACTAAAGGCTAGATTAAATAGGAAGTGATGGATGTGTTAATTAACTTGATGTGGTAATCATTTTTCAATTACACATATTAAATCATCACATTGTATGCCTTACCTTTTTAAGGTTGTATATAATTTTTGTCAATCATAACCTAGTAAAGCTATAAATAAATGAAAACATTCATCCATCCATAAAATTTCAATTACATTAAAAAATGAATAAATACCATGGCCATTTATGTCAGTGGAAAACCGACAATATATTCGATCATGGTATTCCACAACTATGCCTTCCTATTGATCAGGGAATAAAATCTCCACCCTTAGTAGAGTCTATGAGGCCCCATGTGGTCTGCCCCCTGCCAACTTTGTCAGACTAATTTGCCACCACTTTTCCCCCCACCCTTCTCCTCAGGTCACCATCCATATGGGTACTCTTTTAGGTCTTGAAGATGCTGTGCTCATTCAATCACAGAATTTTATACATCGGATATTTCTTTATTCTTGCTTTCCTCTGTATGGAATGATTTTCTTCTGCTTCTTACAGCATCCATCCTAGGCTGCCCTCACCTACAGCCTCAAAGTTTAGGCCAGCTTCTTTGCTTATACACTCACAGAACTGTTGTCTTTATATCATTGGTCTCCACTTGTAATTATACACCCCTTGCCCCAATCTTTTGACTGCCCATCTCTCTGACTAGTCTACAAGTACCCTGAAGGCAGGAATATGTGTCTGTAGTACATCGTCGTGTCTGTAGTACTGGCAAACAGTAGGCACTTAAATAAACATGATAGATGAGTTCACTTGTTTGTATAATGGATGTCTTTTCCTACCTATGACTTACTGGTCAAACAGCCTTTCTTTAAACATACAAGAATTTGTTTCAGACCTATTGGCTGCCTGGATATTTCTGTAATATTTTTTGAACAGGCTCTGGTGAAGAAATTAAGAGAGACTTTGCCATCTCATGTGGAAGGAATACAGTTTTCCAAAAAACATTAATTTGAATGTGCATGTCTTTGAATGGTTTTAAGGAACTGCCAGGGGCTAACTGTATAATACATAATGAATGTAAAATAGAAAGACAAAACAGTATTGAAGTAATGATCCTTTTGGTTGTGAATCAGACCATATTTTAAAAGCTCATCTTTTCCTATCAGAATGCTTGTAGTCTTTGAACTCCATTCCAACATGCCAGCCTACACTATTTAAGAAAGGCTACCATGGTCACAAGGCTTTATGAACCCAGGCAATGTTCCTTGCTTCCCTTGTGGTCCCTGATGTTATCCTACTAATGAGGACTTTGCAAACCGTAGCTTAGCAGTCCAAAAAAGAAAATATAATTTGACCTATGGGACCTTTGGTTTTGTTTCTCTTTCTCTGTTCATGAGCAAATTTTACAGTTGAAGAAATCAACTGTATAGATTTAAATTCTGACATTCATCTTATAGAGTGTTTGATTTCATTATTCTCTGACTAGGGCCCATTGGGACTTGGTATTTTGTTTTGAAAGTTTTGCAGTCTTGAGGTGCCTGGGTGGCTCAATTGGTTAAGCACTGACTTCAGCTCAGGTCATGATCTCATGGTTCATGGGTTCAAGCCACGCTTCGGGCTCAGTGATGACAGCTCGCAGCCTGGAGCCTGCTTTGGATTCTGTGTCCCCCTTTTTCTCTGCCCCTCCCCTGCTTGTATCCTCTCTCTGTCTCTCAAAAATAAATAAATGTTAAAAAAAAACTTTTGCAGTCTCTGATGACACTTCAGAACTATGTGAAAACCAACATTAATATCACTGATCAAATTCCTACTTCCATATTTCCTCTTTACACTTCATAGTGTTTAAGAATGAGTGGTCTGGAGTTAGTCTGAGTTCAACTTTCATTTACTAGTTCTGTGACCTAGGGCAAATAATTTGCCCTCTCTATGCCTCAGCTTTTGCATCTGTAAATGGGGATGCTAATAACAGTACCTACCTCACAATGTTGTATTGATGATTAAATGAGTAAGTATTTGTAAAGTATTTAGAATCATACCTAGAAATACTATAAAATTATTTTGGAATAAGTACATAGATATGCAGGCTTTAGTCTACAGATATTCAAGAGGTACTGGTCCTCAAAGATTCAACCCCACCAAGCCCCAAGAAAGGACCCACGTCACTTTTTGGCCTTTGGTGGGAGGATCACCTTTTGACTCTTTTTATTTCAGCATCAACTATTAGTACATTCTTTTGGCAAGTTGTAATGTATTTATTTTTAGTTTTGAGGCTTTTCCTGTTTTACCTGATGTTTATTGTAAAATACATTACCCCGTTTAATCCTGAGTTTTTGACATTTTATCTTTTTTCAAATTTCTTTAGAGATATCAAGGAATCAGTGGCCAATTTGGTCCCCTTCATCAAAACATAGAGGCCCTTGATACATAGTTTTACTGAGATTAGGCCTGTTCCCAGGGCTGGCATTCAACTAAGCCTCATGGCATTCTGGCTGTCTGAGGATAATCCCCAGTCGAGCAATCTCCCCACCTTGGCCAGTCCTCCATGACTCAAGTCTATGGGAAGGATGCAGATTGCCTTGGAGTTTCCATATGTTTTGATCATTAAGGCTTAATTTTATCATTACCCTAAATGAATTTGCAGAATCTAGTTTCTGTTCCTTGGTTGAACGTGGCTTTTCTAACACCTATCATATATAATTCAGCTTTTAGAACAAGAGCATTTAGGCAAGGAATTTGCAGTCAAGCCAACAAAGAGCTTTGCATATATTCTAGAACAGTTTTTCTAAAGTCTGATCCATAGAATTTGGGGCTGTAAATATGCTCTCTGTCCCTCAGCTTCCTCAATTGTCAAATAAAGACAATAATAGTTCCTACCTCATATGGTGGTTTTGAACATCTAATTAATATATGAAAAATGTTTAGTGTACGGTCTAGGAAATAAGTAGCCATGAAATGTTAACTACTATTTATATTCTGCCTAATATTTATTTATATTAGGTTATTAGGGTATAGATCTCAAGATAAGGCTTCCTCTGTAACCATTTTCATATATTTTATATTAAAAAATTATTTTAATGTTTATTTTTGTGAGAGAAAGAGACAGAGCATGAGTGGGGGAGGCACAGGAGAGGGAGACACAGAATCCAAAGCATGCACCAGGCTCTGAGCTGTCAGTGCAGAGACTGACATGAGGCTCAAACCCATGAACCATGAGATCGTGACCTGAGCCAAAATTGGACATTTAGTCGATTGAGCCACCCTGGCACCCCTAAACTTTTTACATATGTCTTATTGATTAACTAGGTTGTAGTGTCTAAAACACCAGGCCTATTTAAATCTGGTCTAACTGAAATGTACCAGTAAGTATATTGTTAGGGTATACAGATATATGCTTAACTTAATTCCAGGCAAACCTCATCTGAATCTTCTCCATGTACTTTTTCATCTTGGTCTAAGTTCACTATCAGATAAAATGCTAATGTATACTGTGAGATGTCATTATAGTTTTGTAACATGGTAGCATTGGGGTTAGTTGAGTTCTCCTTGTCTTACTTTTTATTGTTAAGTTACTAAGAAATTTGAAAAGTGGTTGGATAGTGCTCATGAGCAACTTTGAGGTTTGCCAACTCTTCACTGTGAGTTTCAGAATCAGTGTATTTGAACACTATTTTGAGAGATTTCAAAGCAAGGTATTAATAGTTGTAAAGTGCATGTCTCCACATGTGATTTCTTCCCCACAAAATTCTGGATAAGCACAGTAAACGGCATCCAGCTGTACCCAGCCATGCGGGAATACACAAAATGGACACACACACACACACACACACACACACACACACCTCAAACACCTTCCTGTGTCCCCCTTGCACAATTTTATAATAAATCACAAGCAGCACACTTCTGGCAATTGCATCCACAAGCAAACTTTAACTCCTTTTTTAAAGATAAAATGCCACATTTATTGTAACATTTATACATTTCTTCATTGAAATTGTGTAAAACCATGCCACCATTTTCATTAGATTTCTTTCTTTAAAAAAAGTCACTGGAGACGTTTTTGAGGATTGTGTCCATAA